AACAGTGGGCTGAGAGGTTATTCTCGAATGAGAAGAGCTGAATTGATCGCTTTACTAGATAATAATCAACCTAATGATAATGTTGATATTGATAATGTTGATAATGATAATGATAATCAACAACAAGAATTAATATTTGTACCCACATCCGCCGGCGTTGGTAAATATCTTAGAGGTTGGAAGATGGATATTAATTCCAACATGGATGTTAACGATATTAAGCCCATCATATCGAGTAAAATTAACGAGGAATTAGATGATTTACATAGTATAAAATACCAGCTGACGATTAAAATGACATTGAGTAAAAGTAACACAGACGATAGCACCGAATATACCGAACCATATTTCCGTAGCAATCAAGAAGTTATAACTGAATCCGATACTATAAACTCATCATTAGATACATCAATTCAGAGGATACAGGAAACTTTAGAACGCTGGACTAATAGAGGTTCTGGTTGGGGTGTGGATAAAATCGATAGTTTATATTTAGATATAGCAAATTATATGCCCTTCAAAGGTGGATCTTATATAGATTTACCCCCGTATTATAAGAAGAAAAAAGCCATAATTAACGTAAAAAATAAATCCGATGACTGTTTAAGAATGATGATAAGATCTGCATTGTTCCCCGTAGATTCTAAAATTGCAAATAGACCTTCTAGCTATCCTCAAAACGATGGACTCAACTTCGATGGTATAGACGAACCTACGCCAATATCACAAATTGATAAGGTAGAAAAGCAAAATAATTTAGCTATAAATGTTTTCGGACATTCTAAAGGAATTGTTGTACACAGGATAAGCTCCGCTCCGGAAAATATCCCCAGAATCAATTCATTTCTGATCGAAAAAGATGGTAAATATCATTATACGTGGATAAAGAGTTTAAACAGGCTATTATACGATCAAACAAAACATGCTAGAAAGAAATATTTCTGTGAAAGATGCCTGCATGGGTACAGCAGACAAGATCTATTAGAAGCGCATAAAGAAGACTGTAGAGGTGTTGGACAGAATGCTATTAGGATCGATATGCCTAAAGAAGGAAAAAATATATTAAAATTTGAACATTATTATAATCAAATGCCAGTACCGTACGTAATTTACGCCGACTTCGAAGCGCTTATCAAACCCATAGAAAATACCAACCATAGCAATACTGATAATAGTTTTACGTACAAAACTCAAGAACATATTCCTTGTGGGTTTGGATATATAGTTGTAAGGTATGATGGGAAAACAAACCCGCCGGTGATTTACAGAGGTCCCGATGCAGCGGGAAAGTTCCTAGAATATCTACAAAATGAAGAGAGAATAATCAGGGAAAAACTATCGTGTAAGATACCCATGCGTATGACGAGGGATGATTGGAGTGCCTATAAGAAGTCAACGAGTTGTCACGTTTGTAATAAACCCCTAGATGGGGATTCCGTAAGAGATCATTGTCACGTCACGGGTAATTATCGGGGAGCCGCTCATAACGAGTGTAACTTGAAACTAAAAATGAATGCTCAAACAATACCCATCCCCGTTGTGTTTCATAACCTTAGGGGATACGATTCACATCTCATTATGCAAGCTATCTCGAAGACCGACGGCGGTTTAACGTGCATTCCTAACAATATGGAAAAATACATATCGTTCTCGTTGACTAAACCTATACATTATAGGGACAAGGATGGGAAATCTAGAACAAAGCAAAGTAATGGGCTTAGATTCATAGACTCCGTACAGTTTCTGTTATCTTCCCTGGACAATTTAGCTAATGCGAACAATCCCGATGACTTCGCGATAACAAATAAATATACCGATAAGATAACACGTCATTTGTTGCTGAGAAAAGGTGTATATCCTTACGAATATATGGATGATTGGTCTAGATTCGAAGAAACTGAATTACCACCCCTCGAATCATTCTATAGTAACTTAACAGAATCTAGAATAACAGATGCCGATTATGAACACGCTCTGACGGTCTGGGATAAATTAGGTTGTAAGAATTTAGGCGATTATCACGATCTGTACTTAAAAACCGATGTACTGTTACTCGCCGATATATTCGAGATATTTAGAAAGACATGTTTCAAACAATACGGCTTGGACCCGGCATGGTACTATTCCAGTCCCGGACTATCATGGGATGCATTGTTGAAGAAGACCGGCGTAGAACTAAAACTACTCACAGATTACGATATGCACTTGTTTATTGAGAAAGGATTAAGAGGTGGTATATCGATGGCAGCTAAAAGGTATTCTAAGGCTAATAATAAATTAGTGGAAGGATACGATCCCAGTAAACCCGACACCCACATATTATATCTCGACGCTAACAATTTGTACGGATGGGCTATGAGTCAACCTTTACCCACGGGTGGTTTTGAATGGGTCGATGATATCAATGTGAATGATATCAATAATATCAATGAGAATAAAGGGTACATACTAGAAGTTGACTTGGAATATCCAAGTTCGTTACATAAAGATCATAACAGTTATCCGCTAGCTCCCGAAAGATTAATGGTTAATAAAGATTGGATGTCGGAATATCAACGCTCCTTGATGGGTAATAGTAGGTTAGCTAACGTAGAAAAACTCGTACCAAATTTGATGGATAAAACAAAATATATAGTTCACTACAGAAATCTCCACTTGTATCTATCGTTAGGTATGAAACTTAAGAAAATACACAGAGTTCTAAAGTTTGATCAAAGCCCTTGGATGGAGCCCTATATAAGGTTGAACACAGATTTAAGAAAGATAGCTACCAGCGATTTCGAAAAGAATCTATATAAGCTCATGAATAACTCGGTATTTGGTAAAACTATGGAGAATCTAAGGAAGCGTGTTGATGTTAAATTAGTCAGATCTAATGAGGAAGAAAGACTCAGGAAACTTATAGCCAGTCCGGCTTTTAACAGAAGCAAGATATTTGATAACGACTTAGCCGCGTTGCATATGCAGAAGAGTAATATAAAATTCAACAGACCGGTGTACGTCGGTATGAGTATTCTCGACTTGTCAAAACACTTAATGTATGACTTTTATTACAACGAACTTAAGAAGCAATACGGCGATAGATGCGAGGTTTTATATACCGATACAGATTCTTTGTTGATGGAAATACAAACCGAGGATGTGTATAAAGATATGGCAGAAAAAATAGATATGTACGACACGAGCGATTACCCTAAAGATAATCCACTGCACAGCGTAGTAAATAAAAAGGTGTTAGGTAAGATGAAGGATGAATGTGCTGGGACCCCTATAGAGGAGTATGTGGGATTAAGACCTAAGATGTATTCTATAAAGAAGTCTGATAATGGAGAGATAAGAAAAGCTAAGGGCGTTAAGAAGTATTTGTAAAAAAGCATATCAAACACGAACAGTATAAAGAATCATTATTCAACGGTAGAACGTTCAAACACGAGATGAACTCTTTAAGAAGTTACGATCATAGGATATATGGATTAAGAATGAACAAGACATCATTATCCCCCTTAGATACAAAGAGATGGATTGATAATGATGGTGTAAATACCTATGCTTATGGTTATGGTGGTAATACTGTACCGTCGGGAACTATGAACAACTCTTCTCGTACAAATGCCCTACCCGGTCCATCTTGAAGATAATAAAGAATAGGCTCTCCTTCTTTCGTAACCAATCGACTAATGTTATACGTCTTAAGGGACCATATGGGATCAGTTGCGCGACGTAGGCCTCCTTCGAGTTCACCGGGCTGGTATAAATATCTTACCCTTACTCTATCCGGAAGTTTTCGTTCTTTGCCTCTCCTCGGTGCTGAAGATTCGGAAGTCACTGATTTCATTTTAATAGCATCGGATGGTTTCTTCCCTATTAATCTCGTTACTTCATTATTCAGCGCTGATACAACGGCTGATAATCGTGTCACCCATTCGGTTGATCTCAATCGCTCGGATTTCATTTCGATCCCATACTGATAGCCAAACAAACGTTCCGCTAATGTCCTGTTAAATCTTTCGACGATAGCTTGACTGCGGTGGGCCTCTCTTTCACCACGGACGATTTTGACATCGTTCTTTGTTAACAGTTTAGTTACCGATCCCATAAACTCGCGACCGGGATCTACTTGAAATAGCTTAGGCCATTTTAGCGGTCCGCGTTTATATATGCGACTCAGTGCATTAGCTACCTCTGTTGATTCTTTCGAGGTTAATGGCTCAGCCTCTTTGTATCGACTAGCCACATCCACTACGGTTAAAGCGTATTTATACGTTTTGCGTTTTACCTTATCGTGGGGAAGAAACAAGAGGTCAGCCTGATGAACTTCATTCGTTGTAAAAATATCAAACTTCTTCCTCGGTATATAACGCGGTGCCGGTAAATATATCTGCCACATCGCTTGTTTCTTTAACCAATCCTTGGCCACATCTTTAGATACCTTAGCCGCGGTGGCTAATTTTTTTATTGCTCCTACACCTTTCCAATATCCTCGTGGGCTATAGTAAATTTTATCCATTATTAATTAATATTGATATTTCTTTTAAAACGACTTTCGTTGAATCACATCATCATTTTTATACTAATAGAAGGAATGATTGGCCCCAGGTATTGGTGAGCTAGAGCCAATTTAACTTAATCTCATGACTATCGTTAAATCGCATCATCATTTACGCATAAAAAATTCCTCCTGTAGTAGCAGTATAGGTATACGAATCCTGCTCCAGTGGAGTTGCGGCAGAACCATCATTACCTATACTACTACCCTATATGCACGTATTTCAAGTATACAACAAGATCAAAAGTGGATTTAAAGGGGTTTTAATCAGATACTAGCACACAAAACATTGCAATTCGAGTGTACAGTACACTATATTAAAAAATCTAAACGTTGTTAATTGTTCTAAATTTTAAACACAGAACTATTAATAATGACGCACTATAAAAACAATGACATTCTTTAACAATGTTCTACACTCAGTGAAATGAAGAAAGAACATGAAAGAACAAACAAGACACTGTCCCCATTGTGGCTGAAAGTATGGTGTCACTGTTAAACGGTCTCATGTCCTTCTTAAAGTTTTCATGGTGACAGACCTTGAAAATGGTCTGTTTATGAGTTGTACCACAGTTGTCTGGAAGAAGACCACACTCCAACTCTGTCCTCAAACCAATGACGGCATCCGCACAAGACTTGTGGTTCTTTTTGCTCCAGGCATCCAGATCACAGCTGACGTGCTCCAGACGGACGTCACAGAATCTGTTGAAGAACTGGTCCTCTTTGAGGTTCTGTTGTTCTGCCGTCATCATCAACTCCATGGTCTTCTGGTTCATTGTCTGCTGACACGACACAACAGCGTCTGTGGGCTCGGCGAAACAGTCGATGCCGTTGAGGTACACGTCAGGGTGAGCGCACAGTACTCCAACACCTTTGTCCATAGATTCAATGTCAAGGCCGATGGCGCGGAGAATCATGGGAGATTCAGGACAATCGTCTCTCTTTTGTTTCATGCATGTCAAGAGAGAGTCTTTGTTCTTACAATTAGTGTCAGCCTGATCCGCTGTGGTCCCGATGATGGCGCCGCGGCCAATGGTGGAGTTGGAGAGGAAGAGGGTGGGGTCAAGGTTGGCGTCAACATAACACTGACGTAGATCCTCCGTGAGAGTTCGGCGACATGGGTGTGCGCACATCGCGTCCAGAGATCCGAAGAGGGAACAGAACGGTCTGTTGATGAGGCGTCTCTGATCCTGTTGTGTTTGGCTCGGGGCACACATCGTAGAGTTGATCAATGTCCTCATGAACTCCACACCGCAATGAAGCAACGCCTCCTGCTTGCTACAAGCATCTTGTCTGAACGTGTCGGGACTGTCGGGCGCTTGTCCGTTTGTCCCGTTTGTCAACAAGTATAAAAAGTTATTAAAGTCCATCTGACTATTTTGAACACAGGTGTTGAGGTTTTGAACAAAGTTATTTTGACACGGGGACATCCCTTGTTGACCTTGACCCGTTGTCATGGAAACAAGAGCCATTGCAGTACATCATGACACAATTCTCCCAACCATGTTGAGATATGTTCATTCACTGGAGGGAAGTGAATGGCTGGCAAAACTTCAAGTTACTATTTACACTTGAATCTGGAATCTATTGTACAGAGGGTGTGACACGTTCACCAATGATGGTACAGAGATTAAGCGTTATGGAGGCTATAGGTACAGTACAGTGGGGTGGGTTCGACCGTGCCTGCCCTTGGGGTGGCCTTCAGCCCTATGCTCATATAGTTTCTCGCACCTTTAATTGTACATACAATGAGGAACTACCTGAACAAATTATTATGTGAATTAATGAAGAGCGCCAACCTTACTCACTCTTTGTTACAGTGTTTGTTCTCTTACAGTTTGGGCATTTAGAACAAACAGAGCTGTATTCGGGAACCTTTTTTCACGAAAGATTTGTAATAACTAAAGTCATTATTGCGAATACTGTTAGGCAAGAGAACACAAGAATTTTCATATATTTTTTTGTTCGTTTTTTATTCAACATTGCATTACTTTCTACATTATTTAAGCCATTGTCTCAGTGTGTCTTCTCATTGTCTCAAGTATAAAAGATGACGTAATTTCTTGTGATCAATGTTTTATCAATCGTGACTAGATTTGTTGTGATGAGTGGCGCGCACCCGATGTCATAAACATGCTGCAACAGAACAGAACAGAACAGAACAGAACAAAACCTTATTGCGTTTCAGGCCGCGTGTAACGGCATATGAAGGACAACATAATTGAATAACATGACAGAAAATGAAAGAACGTACACATATAAAGGTAGAGTTAAACAGATTTTTTGTTTGAAAAGAAATCACAAAGCATTCTTAAAATGCTGGCCTTTCCACTATTACACCGATTACTAAATATATAAATATTTGGCTTGTTATGTACAATATCCTATGCTAACTGTAATGGTACAATCTGTGGTATTCAGTCCCTATTTCATCGAGGTGACATAAATTGCTTTGCTGATCAACATACATTAAATATTGTTTTGGATATAAGTACGAAATGTGTGCATCTTAACGGATGGCATTGGTAATGTTGCCGTTTTAATAAGCCATTTGCTGGGCATTCTGCGATTTTTGTATACACTTGTTTATGACATACTAATCAATTCACGTGAGCATTGCTTATCATACGCTACAAACTGAAAGACCTGTGAAAACAATGATGTAGAGTATAAATGTCGACCACAGGAAATGCCCAGAGATAGTGGAAATGAGAATGATTGTGTGCAATGCTAGAGCGAATGACTGAAATGCAAACATCGTTATTAAAACCGATAAATGTTACATGTATAATATTACGCACATGCTTTTTTCGAGGAATATATCCGTGAGTGTCAGCAGAAATGAACACTAGCCTATACATCTACAGCCACGCAAAGACGATATCACGTATCTTTACAAATACCTATTATTTAAAAAATATAAATAAAATATATTATGACTCGCGTACTTCCTCATCTGGTCACGTCACTTTTCAGTTTGGCCTATCTTTAGAATACAGTACCACAAACTTTTCAAACACGACACAGTAACCTGTGACGTAATTTGTAGTATTTGCCACACCGGCGAAACAATGCCCTGTGACGTCAGGGGTCATTAAGCTAGTTTATGAAAGCACTTTTATGTTCAATAGTTAGTTAGTTTCATGTTTTTCAGACAGGTGTCAAGTCTGATCAGTTAACTGAGGCAAATCACGTGACAAGTATGGGGATACGAGAAGTTGGAATTAATAGAAGACAATCCATTACCTCAACAGCAAAATATATGATGTATGGTGAACTTGGGAGATGTCATCTGAGCATAACAATAATGAAAGGTGATTTCTGTTAGAAACTAGAATGCAATGATAACCCAACTGAGTTGTTCAAAGCCACCTACACGTCTGTAAAAGTGGACTCTGATGTTAATTATATTCATTAAAATTGGTTGATATTTTCTTGACAAAATTCTTGACTACTGTGTCTTATCATATGTGAATAACTATGCACCAAGTTACAAAGGATAAGGCTTATATCTCTACAGTAGAAAAAAATACTTATAAATCAATCTATTAAATCCTGGTACAGCGATATAATTTAAAAGATATATACTTTAAAGTTTCGAAAACACACCCTCTTGTGAGGAATACCTTTTGCTTTCAGTTCCGTATTATATCCATTTTTAGCATTTCAAACCGTTGATCACTATCTACCTGTAGAGGTTGGCTATTGGAATGGTATACAACATGCAGAAAGGACTTGCCCTATCTGTGGTTTGTCAACTTTTGCTGACCAATTCCACTTTCGATTCAAATGTAACGCCTTCGTAAGCTCTAGATATTTTCCATCCAACTACATGTATTATTAGTGGCCGAACGTGTATACATACAAGAAACGCTTGTGTACTGGAGATGTTTCAATGTTATAAAACCGTGTAAATTATTGCAATTGTTCATCGTACTTTAGAACTAAATGTCAAACGAACCGGCAATTGCGAACATGTTACTCTTTGTGATCGCTATAAATATATGTACCAACGTCGGTGTTGATTTGAGAGTAAAAGAATTGAATTGAAAAATGACAACTATTTTCTTGATGTCCACCTTTCTTTACAAAAATCGAATTATATAACAACAATCAGTCAATTAATGTATCATTTGCTAATAATTTTAACACTGCATATGCACTTCACGCCAGGAAATGGGCGTATCCTGTCTGCTCTAGTAAAACTGCATATAAAAACAATTACTTTCGACAAATCCACTGTGCTGATAACAGTGATAGTCAACGCATTACCGACTTATCATTTGATCAATGCATTTGTACATTTTAAATTGGGTGTGGTTGCCTTATGATGGGAACACCAATGTTGCTGAGCCCCTCGGTTAAATAAAAAAACTAATTGAAACACCTAGATTAGGTTTACGTCATATTTCAATCTTCCTGACCATAGTATAAAGAACTACAACACATTAAGTAAGGAATGAGATATACCTATGTCCACATGTCACACCAACATCACACACATCTTCATTATGGCATCTAATCATCAGAAGAAACAAAAAGGACCTTTACCAGTAGCAACTAATCAGTCATACATGTGATTTAATAACAGCATAATAGTCAGCGCACAGGGGAATACACACATATACATTAGGGGCTGCAGTTAGTTCTCACCATCACTTATTTAATAAGTATAACGCCTTAAAAATGTAAACACTGTTATTATTGTGTTTCTGTCCTAAATGGAATTAACATTTGGTGTGTTCTATCTGAGTGAGTGAGTGAGTGAGTTAACATTTAACGTCACATCGGCAATATTGCAGCCATATCGTGACGAGAAGTTGGTCATAAATAATGCAGATATTTAAACTGTATAAAAACCTGTCATCGAAGGACAGTACGATAACTAGCATATCACAGATTAGATTTAAAACTAGTCGAGGTACATTTAAAAGAAGAAAGATTGAGTTGACATCACAATATAAAAATGGGCTTGAGATCGTCAGTAACTAAAGGGAGATCACCATACCAGGGACCATGGGGACTTACAGTGCCTTTGCTTCCTGCATGGACCCCGGCAGGATTTATATCATCCCTTCAGTCACTGGTGATTGTATACCAGTTAAGCCATAAGTTAAAATGACGAAAATACTACTCTTTAAAATTCTGGCATGCATACAAATACTTCGAATGATTTGGGACTTACATACCCTCTTAGGGGGACAATAATTTTACGCTACTTCAACCCCCCTCAAGGGTACAGCCACTAACAATCTCAGTTAGAAATAAGCACTACCAATTTATAAAAGAATATCCTAAATATCCTCAAAATTTATGAAACAGTTCTATTTCTTTTAAAAAGCATAATATTAAACGATAATTAACGTCATTAAAAGGTCCTTGACCGTTTTAACACTGAAATATTTATCCCTTGTGATGGAAAAATCAATACAGTCAAGCAGGACATGCTTGACCGTGATTCTTTCATCACAAGGGATACAAAACGGAGGATCCTCACCTTTCAATAAATATTCCTGCGTATATCTTGAATGGCCAATGCGACATCGTCGCATAATGACCTCTTCAAATCTGGACTGACAGCCCAAGTAGGTGTAACCGATATTTGGTTTAATTTCATGTAATTTATTGATACCTACTTGGGCGTCCCACTTCTGCTGCATTAAATCTCGGATGTAAGATCTGATTACAGGTTCATAATCAGTATATGGGATGAGAAGTGGTGTCACAGATTTGTTGAGTGCCTCTTTTGCAGCAGCATCGGCCATTGTGTTACCAAAGATACCAACATGGCTGGGTAACCAACAAAAGACGATGTCATATTGGCCAGTAGCAAGATCATTAAATAATTCTATAATTTCGTGTAAAGGTGGATGTTCATATGAAATATTCTTAATGGCTTGAAGACAAGAAAGGGAATCAGAAAATATGATGAAGTTATTATGTTTGGACTGAGTATTTATATATTTGAGAGCTGTTAATATTGCCTGCGATTCTGCTGTAAAAATGGAACTGTCATGTGGTAATCTGGATGATATGGTTCTGGATCCAATGACGGTGGCGCAAGCAACTGCGTCACCATCCTTGGATCCATCTGTAAATATAGACTTATAAGTATTGTATGCGCTTCTTAATTGATTATATTCTTGCTGATACATGAGTTGATTGGTGTCTGATTTCTTTAGTGCCGTTAATGAAAGATCTACCTGTGGCTTTACTAGTTGCCACGGAGGAGACGAGAGTAGTTGAGTCTGAGATATGATTGTGAGATCAATATTTGCAGCAGAAATGTCAGGTTGTATTCTTATTCCAAGGGGTGGAACAAGCGACGGTTTCTTATGATAGAGGTCTACATGGTGAGGATGAAAAACGCAGTCATATGCAGGATTTGATTGATTTGAATATAGTTTTGTGATGTATTGTAAAGATAATTTTAGGCGGCGGTCTTTAAGGGATGGCTCATCAGCTTCAACAT